CCTCCACATTTGTTTGTGTCTGAAGTACATAAAAACTCTTGCTAATGTATTTGCTTATATTGAATCCGTTTGTGTCCTTGAAATACTCTTGTTGGTCACAATGCAGTTTTAAAGTGTCTCAGGATTGAAGTCGTCAGCTTTATCTTCTTTAGTGAGATTGGGGCTCTCCAGTTTTAGAGTTATGGTAATACTAACTTACTTAGAAATTGTTTTAGCCTTACCTGTGTTAGTCACCGATTTAAATAGTGGTCTAAAAAAATGACATCTGATCCCATTTCCTTTCTGTGGTTTTATTCCTGCTCTCTTGTTTTTTGGTACCAGGAATGGAACTCAGTGCCTTATGCTAGCCAGGCAGGCTGCTGCTACCTTGGTTAGATATGCTAATCAAAGCTTTATTTATTTTAAGATAAGCATTCAGTTTAGTTTTGGTTTTTTTTGGTCCTATTGAGACAGGGTCTCTCACTGTGCAGTTCAGGCTGGCCTTGAGCTCACTTTGTAACCCAGGCTGGTCTCCACCTTGCAGGGATCCTCCTGCCTCAGCCTCCCCAGTGCTGGGATTACAGGCGTGCGCCACCACGCCCAACTCAAGCATTTAGTTTTGTTTTGTTGAAGGTCACTACAGCCTTTTACTTTTTATTGTGTACATTATAAGCTTTTTCTGTTTCCTGACCTTTTCTTGTTTAAATTTTAAAAACTTTTTTTATCTTAATAAATTCTGCATCTAAGAGGACTTACCGCAGTGCGGTAAATTATATTGTCTTTTTATATCAGCAGATGACTTGGAAAAGATCTTTTTTTTTTTTCTTTGTTTTTGCAGTGATGGGGTTTGAACCTAGAGTCTGATGCATGTTCAGAGAGCACACTATCACTGACATGCCAGCCCTTCGTAGCCAGACTTGACTTACTATTCCTACCGGGAATGGAGCTCAGGCCCTTATGCTTGCCAGGCAGGAGTGCTGGGCTGCCTCCCTGGCCTCAGATTTTAAGTACACAGTGCTTCTGCGCGTTAAGCTGAGCGATAGAGCTGTGGGACTTGCTCGTCGTGTGTAACCGAGTCTTCGTGCCCATCGTCTGCTGCCTCCCCACTGACCCCTTCCCTCAGCTCTAGGCACCCTCCATTCTTTCCATGTGTGTGATGGTTTTAGACTTCTTAGCTAAGTGTATCATGTTGTATTTGTCCTCTCTCTGGCTTATTTCATTTGGAATAATGTCCTTTCCACTCAGTGATGTTCTCGTAAGTAGAGTTTTTCTTTTTTGAAGGTGACTAATAGCCACTTTGTGAACTGCGTATTCGTTACTCTTTCTTCGTGGGCATAGGTTGCTTCTGTTTTCTGGCATTAGGAGTAACAGGGAATGTACAAGTGCAGATGCCTCTTCAGAAGCCTCCTTTCATTCCTTCAGTATATAGTCAGACGTGTGATTAGTGGATCATACCGCTTTTTATTTATTTGCTTTTAAAAATGAAGATAATGACATCTGACCCTGTGTTGACATCTGGTTCCCCTTTCTCTGTAGTTTTCTTGACATGGACCCTTCATATGTTGCCCCAGCTGGCCTTTTCCTTCCTGGGCTCAGATGCTCTTACTGCCTCACCCTCCCAAGTAGCTGGGACTATAGACGGATATGTGCCAGTGTGTCCAGATTGGTTTAAATTTTTTAGCGTTTAATTGTAATTTTTAGCTTTTGAGCATCCTCCATATTGTTTTCCATAGTGACTGCGCCCTAATTTACATTGCTCGGAGTAAATGGATAAAGGTTCTTCTTATGTTCTAGCCAACATTTGAGATCTTTTGGTAATACAGCCACCCACAGACCTCTGAGATAGTCTCTCATTGTGGCTTGATTTGCCTTTCTGTGGTGCTTGGTTATGTGGTGCACCTCTTGATATGTGTACCTGCTAGCCATTTGCATGTCTTAATTAGAATGTTTAACCTGGATCTTTTGCCCAAGTTTTAAATTTGTTCATAACCTTAATTCTGCGTTGCTTGAGTTTCTTGTGTGTTTTCGATATTGAAACTTAGCAAGTATATAGCTTACAAGTATGTTCTAGTTCATGAAGTGTCTTCATACTGTTACTTCCCTTGCTGTCCAGAAGTTTTTTAGGTTAATATAATCTTTCTTTCAGTAGTATTAAAATGTCCACACTTAAAGTATCTATGAAGAGATTTTTTTATTTGGTGTTTGTTTTTCAGTGCTAGGTATTGAAATCAGGACCTTCACTCTGAGCTAAATTCCTAGGTGTTTTTTATCCTGACACAGGGCTGTGCTCAGTCATTAGGTGAGATCTCCTGGGTTTGAACTCCTGCCTAATAAGCTTTCAGGAGTGCTAGGGTTACAGGAATGTGCACCTGGCTTTAGGTGTCTTTTCATCGCTAGTGTTGAACCGTTACGGTTTGATTATTGTAGCTTTGTAGTATATCTGAAGTCTGGGAGTGTGGTGGCTCCTGATTTGTTGTATTCTCACCAGATTGCTCTGGTAATTCAGAATCTTTTCAACATTTATCTAAAATGTTTTGAATGTTTATTTAAATAACAGTACAAATTTCATTGACTCTGTAGATCATGTGGTATTGTGGGCATTTTTGCCATATTCTCCCCATCAGTGAACATGATGTTCTTTCCATATTCCACAAATGTGAAGTTAAATTACTGTTACAGCTTTTATGGTTGGAATATGCAGCTTAGCACTAATGCTTTTCTTCCTGTCTTCCTCTTTGGGTAACAATTTGTTCTCTGATAAATTTTAGGATTATTCTCTTACCTTTGGAATGAACATTTTGCTAGTGTGTTTTAAAGAGTTAAGTGAACCTTTTCAATCTAAAGAACTGTGCCTTTAGCTCAGGAAAAGCTTTATAGCTCCTAAGTTTTATTCTGAGTAACATTTTATAATTTTTCAGTCTGCCTTTGGTATCATTTACTCTTTCTCTGTGTCAGTTTGTCTTTTTTTTTCCTTTTGGTACTGCTTTTTGTTCCTTTGTGGTATAAATACTGAGGTGTGTTAGACTGATTCTACATTTATTTTTCTTTTCTTTTTTGAGACATGGCTTCATTGTATAACCCAGGCTGGCCTCTAGCTAGTAATCCTTCTGCTTTAGTCTTCTTAGTTCTGGGCTTATAGGTATGCACT